TCTACAAGCTTTGCAAGTGGGAAAACCTGAAAAATCAACAGTGTATCAAATACTTAATCTCCCCACTGTATCTACTTACAAGTTTTCAGAGAAATACAGTTCAGTGAGCAGTCAGAGCTATTATTTTCTTGAACTAATTCTTAGAGCCGTCTTCTTTCTAAGAAATACTAGACTATTGTTACAACCAGACCAACACGTCCTGTATAATTGTCAAGTTCATGGCCTCGCATTCCTTGAAGTATTGCATCACCTGCCACCAGAGTTGCCAAAGTTTCAAATAAAAATTGTCTCGTGCTCAGGATGGGTTTACACTAAAAATAATTATAATAATAATCTCAACATAAAAAAACCCCACCCTTTCCCAGGTCCCTGAACGTATCAGCAGTAAGTTCAACGCTTCACCGGGTTATTCCACGTTCTGACCTCACTTCTTTGGCTCCGTGTATTTCAAGTAGGGGGTCTCTGTGGACGAGTGGGCGTGTCACAAGGAAAGGCGACTCTAAAGCAACACACCTGATTTGACGGACTTTGTTAAACGGACACACCTGACTGGACATGCAAAAAACAAGGCGTTACTGTACGTCACTACCTCATTGGACAATAACAAAAGGGGCGTTACTGTACGGCACCACTTTTTCTGGAGAACCCTACTTGGGTCACATTTCTCCTGGTTAACCTTATATTAATAATACTATAATAATAATAATAATAGCGTTGGGGTCAGGCTGTAGGCCTCGTAGCCCACAGTGTTCATGCTTTAGACACGCCCACTCTGGTGACACGCCCACTTTGATCACGCAGATAACCCCTTCTCGTGTATTTTCACGTTTTTCGGGGTCACGCGGTTTACATCGTTGTTGCACATAAGCCGGCGAGGACCACAGCGATAACAGTGTTGATTTTGACGGTGGACGGATCAACCAGCAYCAATTATAGCCCGCTTTTAACCTGGCAGCAGCCAATGGGTGTGGGGGGCGGACAGGAGGACCGACCAGGGGTGTTGTCTTCTTACCAGTAAGCCGATTGGGTTGTCTTAAAAAGGCCACGCACGCTCCCTCTTTCCCGCGGCGAAACTCCGCCTTGTGCCGCGGTACAGAAATAGAAAAGGTTTGGCAGGAAGAAGAACTGGTAGTAGAAGGATTTAAAGCGTAATTAAGGCGGTTTATTGACGCTCAGAGTCCGGAGTGGCTTCTTATCTTTCATTTTATCAGCATCCGAAGGGAGCAAAAAAAAATATTTTAGCCGAGCATCCTGGCTGAGCACCAAGCCGGGAGGGAGGTGTAAAATAGCCAGTTGGTTATTAATTCTTACATAAAACTCGCCGTTGTTCCCCCMTAAAGTTTGCTCATAAAATCTTCCTGTCAGTAAATTCAATCTAGACCTTCCAACCATTTAATTTAGTTAGAGGGAATGGCATTGGACTTCGCAGCTGGGTGCGCAGGAGGTAAGTGATTTCTTATGTAGCATTAGCATCAGTAGCTAGCATTAGCCGTGTCGGGTTTTTTCCATCGTTTCTCGACGCGTGTACATCGTCTGTAGGTGCGTGGTGCTGCGGAGTCACTGCAGTGATCAGAGACTTGTTCTCAGCACCAGTTGATGGGAATAATAAAAAAAACGTATGCAAGCAGCAGTGCAGGAAATAGACCGAAAAGTGCACRTATTTTTGCTCAACTTAAGCGAAAAGATGAAATTGAAAACCTGCACGTRGTAGAATCATCACTTRACACTCTATTTWAAAAWAAATAAATAAATAAAARGTACCGGCGTCTAKTTTAACAKTAAAATGTAATGGAATCAGAAATCCCTCGTTATATTTAGTTCATATATGATCTGGTAGCCCTCTCCTTTCAATCAGGATTGTGAAAAGCTGGCATTAGTGAGATTAGTAATCGTCATTCCTCTTGAGGGAGTAGTTCTTCAGACATGCTCTTCTAAAGGGAACAAAGAGTTCAGACCTTCTCCTTTTTGAAAAGATTTCATCTGCGTGCTTTAAATATAAAAAGAGCTTCACCCTTCACCTTGTCAAATGTTTAGGTTCTTCCTACATCTTTAATTTAGACAACAGCACCGAGTCATTCTGATTTGTGTGTCAGAAGTGTTTCTCCTTATCAGATGTGCTCATGTAGGAAGGTGAGTTTGTTTAAAGCAGCAGACACTTCTGTGGACACGTGTCATAAACTGAGCTTGGTGACATATGGGGAGAAACAGCTTGACGTTTCCCTCAAACTTTTAGGATTATCAGGAAAAACTTCATCCTACCGTATCCTCAGTGCTGCTTTACTGTGGGGTTTTCAACCAAGTGCTTGCATTCCCAGGAAAAATATAGAGAAAAAATGTACTTTTTTTTCCTCATGTGAGAAATAACTGCTGTGAAAAAGGGGTTTTTAGATCATTGACACAAGTCAAGGCCGGGTCGCTGCACAGCTGTCGTCACTGGTTGCAGTGCAGTGACCGGCTGATAACGTTACTCAATGTTGGTTTGGTCACTGTGGTTTGATTCCTTTTGCCAGGTGGAGCATGACATCCCTAGCTTTCGTGAAAATCGAATCATCTGTCAGTGATGTGCTGCGGTCACCAGAAATAACAAAAACAGACCGAACAAATTAATAAATGATCAGTTTTACAGGGTTCATGCCAGGTCTTAAATATTGTCTAAAATTTGAAAATCAAAATTTTAGGCCCAAAGTCTTAAAAACGCCCAGATTTTCACCCAAGGTCTTAAATTTAATTTGGTCGAGTCAATTTTTTCTACTTTTGATCATTCCTGAGAACCGTTGGCTGCATGAATAAAGTTAAGTCGTAATCAGAGGTTGACACGTTCTGTCTTCACGAAGTGCTAAGTTTGCTACTCATGATTCAACTACAAATCCCATGATAACTGCAGGCAAAAACGGCACKGTTTACTTCCATGTTTTTCACCTCTTTGCCGCTACAACCCCCCACATACAGTGGCTGGTTTACCTGCTCAAAAAACAGAAGTTCAGTCATGTCCACTGCTTGTTGTTTTAAATATGGGAAAGTGTGTTTTCAATGCAACTTGACTTGTTATCAGTGATTTTTTTTTTCACTCGGTTGAAAGCGGTTCACAGCAGTCAGATATGACTGTTTCATTCAAATAATTTAGTGT